GGAGAACTGGGATGGTCACTAATAAACCAAAAATAGGAAGAAGGGCTGGGCACTGTGGCTCACGCCTATAATCTCAGCACTTTGGGAGGCTGAGGCGTGAGGACTGCTTGAGCCCAGGAGTTCCAGACCAGCCTCGGCAACATAGCAAGGCCCAGTCTCTACAAGAAAATAAAAAATAAAAAACAAAATAAAAATGGGAAGAAAATAGATGGCCTTTGTTCAAATTGTCAGTGATGTTTTGGCTTTCAAATTGCACAGTGATTACAGGTCTGTAATGATTAGTTTAACTTTTGATATGTTTTAATTTTATTATTTTGCTTACTGTATTAACTTTTAATTAAAAAGTAAACTAATAGGCCAGGCACAGTGGCTCATGCCTGTAATCCTAGCACTTTGGGAGGCTGAGGCAGGTGGATCAGGAGCTCAGGAGTTCGAGACCAGCCTGGCCAACATGGTGAAACCCTGTCTCTACTAAAAATACAAAAATTAGCTGGGCGTGTTGGCAGGCGCCTGTAATCCCAGCTACTTGGGAGACTGAGGCAGGAGAATTGCTCAACTGGGGAGGTAGAATTTGCAGTGAGCCGAGATTGCGCCACTGCACTCATGCCTGGACGACAGAATGTGAGACTCTGTCTCAAAAAAAAAAAAAAAATCAAACTGGTGTTGCTGACAAATTAAAAAAAAAAAAAGGATCTAGCAAGAAATGGCAACAGCCTGAGGTTATTTGAAACTCCAGAGGTCACTAGGAGAAGCAGAAGATAACATCAGTCTTAGAGGCGGCTGACCACAGCATTGTGGGTGGAGGAGGCAGGAGGGATTACGGGAAATGCTTGCCTTCAGTTTTCTTTGAAGGCCTGGTGAGAAATACTTTTATTGAAGAATATGGAGTTGGAACAGCAGGCGATGTGAAATTAGGGAAGCCAAGATGAATAAAAACAAAACCGAAGGCGAGGTGGGGCATGGAGATCTGAGTTAACAGGACTGGCAGCGTCAGGGCTGGAGAACTGGGATGGTCACTAATAAACCAAAAATAGGAAGAAGGGCTGGGCACTGTGGCTCACGCCTATAATCTCAGCACTTTGGGAGGCTGAGGCGTGAGGACTGCTTGAGCCCAGGAGTTCCAGACCAGCCTCGGCAACATAGCAAGGCCCAGTCTCTACAAGAAAATAAAAAATAAAAAACAAAATAAAAATGGGAAGAAAATAGATGGCCTTTGTTCAAATTGTCAGTGATGTTTTGGCTTTCAAATTGCACAGTGATTACAGGTCTGTAATGATTAGTTTAACTTTTGATATGTTTTAATTTTATTATTTTGCTTACTGTATTAACTTTTAATTAAAAAGTAAACTAATAGGCCAGGCACAGTGGCTCATGCCTGTAATCCTAGCACTTTGGGAGGCTGAGGCAGGTGGATCAGGAGCTCAGGAGTTCGAGACCAGCCTGGCCAACATGGTGAAACCCCGTCTCTACTAAAAATACAAAAAATTAGCTCGGCATGGTTATACACACCTGTAGTGCCAGCTACTCGGGAGGCTGAGGGAGGAGAATTGCTGGAACCTGGGAGGTGGAGGTTGCAGTGAGCCAAGATCGTGCATGGCACCCCAGCCTGGGCAACACCTAATATTGGAGGGCCAAGTACTGTGGTTTACGTGTGTAATCCCAGCACTTTGGGAGGCTGAGGTGGGAGGATTGCTTGAGCCCAGGAGTTCAAGATCAGCCTGGGCAACATACTGAGATGTAATCTTTACAACAAATGAAAAAAAATTAGCCTGGTATGGTAGTGTGGATGTGTAGTTCCAGCTATCTGGAAGACTGAGGCAGCTGAACTGCTTGAATCTGGGAGGTGGAGGCTGCAGTGAGCCCTGATCGTGCCACTGCACTCTAGCCTAGCTGACAGAGTGAGAGCCTGTCAAAAAAAACAAACAGCTGGGCGAGGTGTCTCACCCGTGTAATCCCAGCACTTTGGGAGGCCAAGGTGGGTGGATCACCTGAGGTCTGGAGTTCGAGACCCACCTGGCCAACATGGCAAAATCTCATCTCTACTAAAAATACAATAATTAGCCGGGAATGGTGGCAGGCACCTGTAATCTCAGCTACTCGGGAGGCTGAGGTGGGAGAATTGCTTGAACCCGGGAGGTGGAGGTTACAGTGAGTTGGCGCCATTGCGCTCCAGCATGGGCAACAGGAAACGCCATCTCAAAAAAAAAAAAAAAAGATAATAAATGATATGTTAGAAGGTAGTAAGTGCCATAGAGGATCAAGGAAGAGAGGTGGGGGAATTGTTTGTGATATTTAATAAGCAGGTCAGAAAAGGCCTCACTGAGAAGGGGATACCTGAAAAAAAACTTCAGGGAGGGGTGAGATGGACATCTGTGAGAAAAATGACCAGGACAAAGGCCCCGAGGGAGGAATGTGCCTGGTGTGGATAGAGAAGAGTGAGGATGCCAGTGTATCTGTAGTGGAGTGGGCTGGGGGGGGAGGGAGAGATGTCACAGGGGTAACAGGGCCAGATGTTTTGGGGCTGCTTGGACTGAGTAGGATGGGGTCACGTGTGGGTTTCCAGCAGGGGAGGATGATGTGATCTCCTTCCAATTTTTTTAAGAGATGGGGGATCTCACTATGCTGCCCAGGCTGGTCTTGAACTCCTGGCCTCAGGTGAACCTCCCGCCTTGGGCTCCCACAGTGTGGGGATTTCAGGCATGAGCCACTTCACTGGGCTTGCATTGGATTTTGTAGTGGGTTGAATGGTGGCCTCAAAAAAGATATGTCCCACCCAAGCACAATCCCTGGAACTTGTGTGCATGTGCCCTTATTTGGAAAAAGGATCTTTGCAATTGTCATTAGATTTAGGATCTGGAGAAGAGATCATCCTGGACTATCTGGATGGGCCCTAAATCCAATCACAACTGTCCTTCTCAGAGATAAAACAGGCACAAGGCCACGTGAACAGGGAGGCTGAGATTAGAGTGATGTGGCCATAAACACAGCAACTGGAGCCACCAGAAGCTGGAATAGGTGAGCAATGGAATCTCCCCTCCAGCTTCTGGAGGAGCATGGCCCTGCTATGCCTTGAGTTTGGACTTCTGGCTCCAAAACTGAGAGAATGAATTTGTTGTCTTTTTTTTTTTTTTTAAAGACAGAGTCTCACTCTGTCATGCAGGCTAGAGTGCACAGTGGCGAGACCTCAAGTGATCCACCCGTCTCAGCCTCCCAAAGTGCTGGGATTACAGGCATGAGCCACTGCGCCTGGCCATGCATTCTGTTGTTGTAAGCCACCAGCTCGGTGGCAATTTGTTACAGCAGCCCGAAGAAACAAACACAGGTGTTACAAGATCCCCCAGCTATGGGTAGGGGACAGGCTGGGGCAGGGCCAGGAAGCCCAGGGAGGAAGCTGCTGGGAGCATGCAGGCAGGAGCCAAGGGTGGACAGGACCAGGGTGTGGGCAGCCAAGTGTCGAAGAAAGGGTAGGTTCTGGATGCATTTTGAAGGTGGAACAGATGGGATTTCCAGGCTGGATGTGGGTTTGAGAGCCGTAAAGGAGTCAGGGATGACTCAGGGTTTCTGCCTCAGCAAATGCAGAGATTGGAGCAGGCAGCTGATTGGGCAAGACAGGGAGGGGCACGTTTTTGGGAAAGACCAGGAGTTTGATTTTGAACATACAACATTTCAGATGTCTAAAATCTGACTGACTCCTCTGAATTACAGGAGTTAACAGGTGGCTAACACCTGTAATCCCTGCACTCTGGGAGGCTAAAGTGGGGGGTGGATTACGTGAGGCCAGCAGTTCAAGACCAGTCTGCACAATATAGCAAGACTCATGTCTACAAAAATTAAGTTAAATTTTAAAAAAGGAATGAACATGCATAGAATGTGTATAGAAGAGCCACCGGCATGCAGAGGCTCTCAGTAAAGGTGACTCAAGGCTCCTAACAGTCCCCTGTGCAAAGGCATCCCCCATCCCACCCCCAGACACAAGACGGTTGCTCTTCATTTTAAGTCTTTACTTATACTGATTTTTTTTTAAATAGACATAGAACTTCTATGGAAACTAAATTATAAAGAGCTCAGACTCCTAGCTGGGGTGCCCCATCCCCAGATCCCAGCCTCCAGAGGACTGTGGCCTCAGGTGAAGGAAATCAGGCCCCCTCCCTGCTTAGATCCTTGTGGGAGCAGAGCAGGGTGAAACTGAAGGTGGGCACAGGCAGCTGGGTACTGGAATTCCTCCTCAGCCTGTCTCAATGCCTGTGTTCTCAGGACCCTAGAACCCCCACGGGACTCCCAGCTCGACCTGGCCAGGTTGGTACTTACGCTCTGCCTCCTTGTTGGTATGACATGAGAGGAGATCAGGTCTCATCTGGGAGAGAGCACTGCCAGGAAGCGTGCCCTCTCCCAGCCCACAGAATACTGCCCAGTCCTCTTGATTTGTGGTCCTGCCCGCCTTGGTGCATGACACCACAGCCCACAAAAAGGAGGAAGTAAAACCCACAGGGCCACAGATCCCTGAACACCCCACCCCCAGGGGAGGGAGGCAGTGGGAGATTTAATTCCACCTCTAGAGCAGCCTTTTAAATTGGAGAGCTCATGGTTCAGATCCCACTTCTGCTACGTCCTTGCTGAGTGACAATGGACATGGGGCTTTACTTCTGAGCCCTATTGGCCTCATCTGTAAACCAGTATTGGCCATATTGGCAGGGGATTGTGGCTTACGCCTATAATCCCAGCACTTTGGGAGGCCAAGGAAGGAGGATGGCTTGAACCCAGGAGTTTGAGACCAGTTAGAACAAGGTGAGACCCCATCGCTACAAAAACTTAAAAAATTGGCTAGGCAGCCAGGCGTGGTGGCTCACTTCTATAATTTCAGCTCTTTGGGAGGCCAAGGCGGGCGGATCACCTGAGGTCGAGAGTTCAAGACCAGCCTGGCCAACATGGTGAAACCTCGTCTCTACCAAAAATATAAAAATTTGCCGGGCATGGTGGCAGCTACTTGGGAGGCTGAGGCAGGAGAATTGCTTGAATCTGGGAGGCAGAGGTTGCAGTGAGCCAAGATTACATCATTGCACTCCAGTCTGGGCAACAAGAGTGAAGCTCTGTCTCAAAAAAAAAAAAAAAAAAAAGAAAAGGAAAAAGAAAGAAAAAGCCGGGTGTGGTGGTTCACACCTGTAACCCCAGCACTTTGGGAGGCTGAGGCGGGTAGATCACAAGGTCAGGAGTTCAAGACCAGCGTGGCCAACATGGTGAAACCCCATTTCTACTAAAAATACAAAATTTAGCCTGGTGTGGTGGTGGGTGCCTGTAATCCTGGCCACTCTGGATAATTGGCTAGGCGTGGTGACGCCTGCCTATGCCTGTAGTCCCAGCCACTTGGGAGGCTGAGGTGGAAGGATTGCTTGAGTTCGGGAGGTCACGGCTACAGTGAGCCGTGATTGTGCCATGCACTCCACCCTGGGCAACAGAGCAAGACCCTGTCTCAAAACAACAACAACAAATAAAATGGATGTCATCTTATATGCACTGGAGGGTGGTGACTAGGGAATCTCCGAATGGTTAAAGGGTGGGTCTCAGAGTCCCACAGCTCTGACTTCAGATCTCAGCTCTGTGGAAGTGGGAAACGAGGTTCCCTTCTCTAAGCCACACTTTCATTCTCTGAACAATGGGGGAGATTAATAATACCAACCTCATATTTGCTCAGAAGAATCAATGAGATCATCCATGGGAGACAGGAAGCATAGTAAGCCCTTGAAACATGCGGCTTGGTGAGATTTGTGTGCGCCCTCGTATCTTGTATACAAGTCAATCACACATAATCAACTTGTATGTGTCCCTTGCTATGTCCGTGTCTGGTTTATTCCTCCTCTGTAGTGCTCAGGCCATTGTAATTGCTCAACAGATATTGAAGGCAAAAGAAATGGAGAAGCAGAATGGAAAAATTCGAGAGGAGATTATTTTAGATGTCTCTTTATACCTAGTGACACTTTTGTACACAATGATAACCAGCTGGTACCAGTTCTAAGCCCAGAGCACACAGGATGGGTGCAGACAATGGCATCTCAGCCTGAGATTAGGGCTGAGAGAGTGGGGAAAAAGTCAAGGCTGATTCAAGCCATCTGAGAATGCAGTGTGCTTCTGAAGCCTACATACAGGAAGCATGGGCAGATCACACCCCAGGAGACATTTACAAATCCACAGGCTGGCCAGGAGCAGTAGCTCACATCTGTAATCCCAGCACTTTGGAAACTGAGGTGGGAGGATCCCGTGAGCCCAGCAGTTTGAGACTAGCCTGGGCAACATAGTGAGACCCTGTCTCTCACTTTAAAAATAACATAAAATAAAATACACGTTTATGGGGCTTCCAAGGGGCTTAAAAACAGAAATCTCATGTTTAATGGCACTGATTTTCAGTAGATGGTGCAGAGCTTTTTGGACTGAACCATCAATTGCCTCTGGCCAAGTCTATAGAAAACAGTACAGAATACTGGTTTTGCAAACAGTTTTTTCATTTTCAGCAGTTAGATCCCTTGTTTTAAGGGACAGAAGACAGTCTGAAAAACAATTAAATAGATCAAAAAAGCATCGTGAATGGTAAATACTTCTGAACTGGAACTTAAAAACCCTAAGCTGGCCGGGCACGGTGGCTCAAGCCTGTAATCCCAACACTTTGGGAGGCCGAGGCGGGTGGATCACAAGGTCAAGAGATCGAGACCATCCTGGTCAACATGGTGAAACCCCGTCTCTACTAAAAATACAAAAAATTAGCTGGGCATG